TCCATCGCGGGCGCTGTCTTTAAGGAAACAAGGTTGAAGTGAAGTTGAAGCGACACGCTTTCTTTCGCGACTTTTACTGTCATGTAAATAGAAGCCATTGGAGGAACTGAGCGACCAAGAGATGTCAAGAAGTGAAAGTGGCTTTTTTCCCCCCCCCCCTGTATATGAATATATGATATTGTCGCGTGGAAGAAGGGTGGTCGGAAATCGCTAAACCACTTTCACTTCTTGACATCTCTTGGTCGCTCAGTTCCTCCAATGGCTTCTATTTACATGACAGTAAAAGTCGCGAAAGAAAGCGTGTCGCTTCAACTTCACTTCAACCTTGTTTCCTTAAGAAAAAATATGCTATATCTCAGGTCCTCTGTGTTGGTCGTATAGAATCGTGTCGCGCTGTGCGAAGCATTGGAGCGCTTGAGTACGTTATCAGCGATCCGTCACCTGATGGTAGTACTCCAAGCGAGATCTCCGTCCTTTATGTTGATGAGGTGAAGCCTCACTTTTTCATTTACTAGCTTCTTCCTTCTCAAAGCTCATTGGTTCGCTGCTTTACAGTCTTACGATGTTTCGCGGCCAACGGAGAAGTTTCCGCGTGGAACACTTGTACTTGTTCCTGGAAAACTAATGCGTTTCAAGGGAAATGTGGCGATCCAGGCGTATTCTATTAGAGAAGTTAGTTTCGTTAGGTAGTTTTTTCGTCTTTATGACCATCGGCAGTGACAACCAAGGCGCTTCGTATCAACCATATTCGGCGTTGCAGGAGGACTGTCTGTAACTAGGGCGTGTGGCGGCGACAGACAGTTGCCGGTGCCTGGGTCTGCAATATTCCCCCTGTCGCAGTTCGAGGAACGGCCGCCCTACTAGCCCTCCTCCACGACTAATCGGTAGTTGAAGGGCCCTGCAGCAGCACCAGTCGACCACCTCTGTCTCACGGCTCTCCTGGAGACTATACCGCTTTCCCACATGGTGTAGCCACCGCTTCCCGGGGGACTACCGGGGCCTACGTCCGTGGCAGGCTGCAGAATAGTCCGGTCTGCAGCTATATCCGCGGATGGACGGCCTTCGTGCCCCGTTTGTCCGTCCGGTACCTACTTAGGTTCGGTGATAGGGTGCTTCGACCGACCTCTAGGTCGGGTTCGTCCGCCTATTGCACTGCACGCTGCCGTATCCGTTCTTTCGTTGCTTTACACCTGATCAACGCGACAGCTGTGCACACAAGAACATCGTTATGTCCCCCGAATGTAATCGACCCTCATAGCCCTAGTCTATTCCGTGCCGTCGCTCACTACGGTTCTCCATTTGTTCTCAAACAAAACCAAATATTTAAATACCTTACCGACTATTTTAACGCTATACCAACGTAAAGTCATTCCATTTCGCATTCCTGAGTCATCATAATTTCGCCCTAGTGACGACCATCTATCTTCCAACGTCCAGCGATCCTAGCGGTGAGTGCGTCTGCGAACTACATCTGCACCCTAGCGTCCGTGCCCTCTGATATAACGGGTATAACGGACACGGGCCAGAGCCTGACGGAGCAGTGTGCCCGATCACACTGCTGGCCAGAGTTCAAGCACCTCACCAACCATCCGGCATCATCGCGGCAGAGCGGGTGCCCGGCGGCTCGTTAGGGAGAAAAGCGAGGGACTGGCTGCTGGCAGCCCTTATATAGGCTCCACTGGGGGCGGGCATGACGCGGCCTGCGGCGGACGCGTCGCGGCTTTGCCCGTGTAGCGCGCTAGAGCCCAGGCGCACGGCGCCACGGCAGCCGTTGTCGCGATCCGCGACACCCCCTCCCACGCCGAGCTAAGGACTGCTTGCAGCAAGATGCACCTTTCTTAGCACTTATGGTGCCGTTTCGCCTTTGCGCATCAGGCCATAAAATACGTTTAGGAATACAGCTATACATGATAAGTAACTCTTTACCTATTACTTTTGCTTCAGATACTTTGCCAGGAGGAATACGATTGCTTGCGAATGGAAGCATTCCTTGCGGTGCAGTATCACACCAAAGTGAGTCACCTTTACTGATAAAGTCTAATAATTCGCCAAGAATTGATATTTAGAATCCATCTGGTCAGACGCCAGCACGACGTCCATCAACAGGCTCTAAGCCTCGCCGGTCTTCGTCGACGGTCACGCCATCACCGTCGGTTGCTGGAAAGCGAGTAGCTTCGCCCGCTGTTGTCTGTATCTCTACCCCGAAAAGACCGATCACTTCTGTTCGCTCGTCGTCCTCGAGTAGTCTACTAGATAGGAGTGGAGGAGATCTTGCCCAGAATGGGAATGTCGGTGCTGAAAGCGCGGCGCCGGCTCACTGTCACAGGAACAGCAGTTTGAACGAGGTTGGAAGTCAGGATTCCTTTGAAGATACTGTTTTTATGAAGACATAGTAATTAAGATCTCAGATTTATTTCATCACTATTTTCCTGAATATGCACATACATGTATAAATACATTCACTTTGGTGGTCGCAAAGGTGTCATGAAGCTGTCAAGCTTTTCACATTTCAGTGAACTGTGGCAGTGTTAGTGAATTACTGGTTCTGAAAACTTTCCCATATATGGCAATTTTTCGACGTGTAGTGCGGCTGGCGGTTTTGTTTCACTGGCAACCTTTGTCGACGAAGACACTGCGAAGCCGGGAGCAGTCCATGGTGCGGGGTCAGTTCTAGCCACGAACACGAACGGCACATTCACCACCCCCACGATGACGCTTATTCCGAGGAATAATCGAGACCACTGAAAAGAGGAAATTTAGATATCCTACCGTATATAATCGCCTATGTCCGTGTGTGTGTCTGTCTGTCTGTCACGAAATTCATAGCACCTGAAGAAGAACTTGGAGGGGTCGGGTCATGGTGGGGATGGGTAGGGCATGGGACAAAATGTAAATAGCACCCATGACCCATGGTAAGCCCCAGTGGGCGGGGCGTGCGCCGAAAGTTAGCGATGTCACTGAAAAATCATAACTCGGTTCCAGAGCAGTCCCGAGATGGGGGAACAGTGCAGTAAAGTTAACAAAGGGCTGACCGACCAAATAGAGGAGACACACCTGAAATGGGCGGGGCGTACTTGAGATGGGCGGCGCTTCCCGTGTCACTGAAAAAAGCCATAATTGGCTACAAAGCAGCTCGGAGACGGGAAAAAGTGGAATAAGGTTAGCACTGGGTTGGCAGAGCAAATGGAGGAGACACACCCGAAATGGGCGGAGGTACTTGAGTTAGGCGGTACTCCCCACAAAGGTCGATAACTCGGTTCCCTTGAAAGTTCAGAGTCGCAGAAAAGTCCATGACGAAGATGAACATCTGGCAAGTGTCCACCATTTTGCGGGTGCTGATGGCACCGCCACAGTGGGCAGGGGTGCATGGGACACGAGGTACCAGTTTAAAAAATTGCGGTTTGGTCCTGAAGCACTACAGAAATGTGGATTATGGTCCCCAAGTGATTACATGTGAATGTGCGAGGCCCTCCCAATATGGGCGGAGCGTGCGCCGAGGTGTGCAAAACCAAATTTGAAAAAAATTCGTAAATTGGTTTCAGAGTACTCCAGACACCGGGAAAAAGTAGTTTGAGATCAGCGAGGGGTCACCGGTTTACAAGTGCTGGAGGGTACGTTGTGGGCGGAGCGTGCCCCGATTTTAAGAACTCCCAAAACAGTTCCAGAATACTCCAGACGATGGGAAAAAGTAGGTTACGGTCATCGAGGGGTCACTAGTTCACAAGTGTGTGATGCATACCCGTCGTGAGTGGAGCTACATCGAAGGTGGAGCGAAGGCCAAAAAAAATTGTAAAACGCGTCCCAGAACACTCCAGACGCCGGTAAGAACGGCATTTAGGTCACCGAGAGCGTCAGTGGGAGAAAGCGCCGAGCCCATACGTGTTGTGCGGCGCCCACGTGGCGTCGAGGAGGGTGAAGTCAATTTGAATAAAATCATAAACATTCCAGAATACTCCAGACGCGGGGAAAAAGTAGTTGAAGATCAGCGAGAGGTCATCGGTTGAGAACCGCGAGGCATATCGTTGTGGGCGGAGCGTGCAGCGAACTGAGGACAATTTTAAGAACTCCTAAAACAGTTCCAGAATACTCCAGACGCCGGAAGAAAGTAGGTTACGGTCATCAAGGGGTGACCGGTTCACAAGTGTGAGAACACCCCCCTTGTGGGTGGAGCGGTTGTCGAGGTGGGTGGGGCCAGTCTTAAAAATTCCTGAAGCGGTTCCAGAGCACTCCAGGCACTCCAGAACTCCTCTGCGATATGGCCCGGCCTTGCGGGCGTGGCTCCGTTGCGCCTACCTGCATTTTTTATCATCAGAGTTTGACTGATACCGGGCTTTTCTCTCATCTGTCCACTCGATCTTTACCACCATTCCATACGCCGTAGTAGCGTTGAAAATAATAGCAGGATGATGCTATTGGTCAAAGAATGTTGACCAACCGGTTTAAAAGAAAAGTCGGATAGTAGGCGGGTATTAAAATACGTGGGAGAAGGTAAGCGCGGCGATCTGTGCCCACTCTGCGAAGCCGGGCTGTATGTCAGGAGATGAGAGTAGTATGCGTGTTACATCCCAAGTAGGAGTTGACAAAAAATGGAGACTTAACCCTCGATTGTTCATGCGCACGTGAAATTTGAGGTAGAAAACCACAAGAATTTCCTTTGCGATCTAATACTTCAAGGGGTCAATCACAAGTGCCCGCCCCGTGATTTCGTGTCCATTCCACTGCGTACAGAACCCGTAGCTGTCACTGAAGGCTGGGGTAGGGCTACCCAGGGAGGAGATTCCACCGGCTATTTTCCCTTCTTCGAAAGAAAAGTAATGATCATACCTGCTCACGAGTATTTTCCGCACATACAAGTGTAACAAATACAGGTAGAAGAAGGGTAACAATACAGCTGATACCCGATATCACTGCCATAACGAAGTGCACGTGCTGGCGAGCTCTCTGAAAGGAGAAGGTGTTTGATTTGTAGTGGGTGAGTTCCTGACTAGGTCACTGTTCTAGTACGGAGTGTGTAAACACGGTTCTTCAACCTAACTTTTAGGCGCTTCGAAGCTCTGCTGCATGCAAAAATGCCCACGGACTTTTTCAACGTCACCCTTTGGGTCCTATGCCGGGGAGAAACATCGGGATGTGGGAACTTTCTTTTAATTACGACCTAATATCCATATATTTTCTTCTATAAGACTCGCTACCTGGCACCCCCCGGAATCCCGTCGAGCGGGGGCAGAGGGGTGAGGGGTGGCGCACTTATCAATCTAAAACCTATCACAAATATCATAACCGGGAATTGCAGTTTTCCCAGTGTTTTTCTTGTAGGAGATCATCGCCTACATCAGAGCGCTTACCAGTTGAGTGCACTTGACGGCTCCCACTACGTTAAGTCCGCTGAACACAATTGCAGAGGTGTACACAACTTGGGCAAATTGGGCGGATTCCGTCTGAAAAGTTGGATTCAAAAGTAATACATTTTGTTCTCCTGCAATGCTAGTCGACTAGCACCTGAGTCAGGCGGCAGAGCAAAACACTGATGTTAAAGAATAGTTAATGGAAATTATTTGGAACTTACGAATGCTAGTATGAGAAAGCAAGCAGCCAGACAACCCTGCGACATACATGCGAACATGATCACACGAGCTTTTTCTGAGATACAACTGCTACGATCCGAAATGGGACCAGCGACCATCTTCACTGCGGCGGATAGCACATATGGTAATGCCGTAGCGTAACCGGTAGATTTGATGTGGAAATGCAGCACCTGGAATAGCTCTAGTGGCATCATCCATGTCTACATTATCGAAGAATGCGAGAAAATGAGTAGTTCGAATGGATTAATAAAATCTTCACCCTTTGTTCAATCTAGAAAAATCAGCATTTCAACGATTGTCCTATTCTCCTATGACGCATGGTGTGAGCAACAGCTCGATACGGCCTAGTGCAGGGTGTTACGCGCAAAATCGACTACAGTGAGGGCAAAAGAAATTTTTTTTCTTCGGCTTCAAGGCGACATAAGTTACACTTTATGAATTCTGATTGGACATTTGTCACACCAATTCAACACAAATGCAAACTGCGCCACTATCATAATACTCCGCCACAGCCTTTTGGACGGGCACCATCGAGAGAGTCTGCCACGCGACCGCGATGTGGTGCCTGAGATCAGCGCGAGATAGTCGATTTCCCCGCCACCGTAGACCGCCCTATTGAACTCCGCCCGAACCCGGTAATCGAGCGGTTTAGGCCAGGTGACACACTTGGATATTCCGTCTTCATCAGCTACTCGACTTCCTTCGATTCCAAGTAGGCGAAAGTTTTTCCAACACCCCTTGATTCCATGTGGTGACACCCAACACTGTAATAGTACGAAGTTTCCAGATGGTACAGGCGACGACATGAAGGCAGGATATTCTCCTCGAGTTGGGCGATATAACCGTCAGCGTTCACCTTCAGCCTGGGGTCCACGAGGAAAACATGGGTGTTCTCATTTGAGGAACTTCCGGTCCATACCATCAAGCAACGCCTTGGCGACTGCGGTGAAGATGATCTTCCAGGTCTTCCAGATCAAGAGTGCCGGTCTCCAGGTAGCTGTCCATGGGTGATTCCATACAAGAAGTTTCGCAGCTGGGTGACATGAATTCCGAAGGTCTTCTCCAGTCAGGGTGCGACTATAAATGACTTCATATTTTTGTGTACATGATAGCGCTGATCGCGCGAATAGCTACGTGCTTATTCGAGGAACCATTTGGGCACTTCCGCCTTTGGTCACTGTATCTACGCTACCTGTCTGGGCTGCAAAACAACTTTATATGTGTAACTTGGCCGAAGTTTTTTTTGTTGCCCCCCTCGCCCCCCCCCCCCCTCACTGTATTTTGCGACGACACGCTGTCAATCACCTAATCTTCATGAATTACCTAACTTTATGTAATGATCCAGAGAGTAGTACATATGCATGTGATGTGCCCATTGGTTGCAGCAAAATTGAAGCTCCTATTAGGTCATCATCCAAAAGTGCCGTGACATATAGAGGAATGGCAGAAAAGCAAAGGGGATAGAGAAGCGGGCTACTACACCATTAGGAGTCTAGTACCTTTAGCTGTGTATTGCTGAAATTTGGACAAACCTAACCACAGAAGAATGTGTCTCGAGAAATTGAGAAGTAGAAGCGCTGAGGGGTTGAAAATCAGATTCCGCGACTTTTTCAAATCAGACGTCACTTAGAGGCAGAGTACGCTGCTCAAACTCGACCGGCCCCGGACACAGTAGCTTTGTGTGTAAGGTTGCTCTCGATACCACAAGGATGCGAAGATTGTTCAGCGAGTCCGAAAAGGAAGAAGGGAAAGAATTTGTTGTTGTGGATAGTCCCATAATGCTCATCCTGCATAAGAAAAAAGGGTAGATGAAGTCCACCGCTGAATGTCTAATCACAGAGGCAAGACATTTGTCAAGCTCCCTCGCGAGTCTGAATCCAGCTGCAACTGGCTGCACGAGATTATGTCCATAAACTGGAGGATGGTCAAGAGGGTGTGCCGCACGCGGTACCTAGAATTATCTTGTAGAAGCACGAATCCAGCACCGATCTATGCCTCTAGCAGTAATGTTCTCAGCATGAGATGTCATTCACGACTGTGAAAACGCACCTCGGCCCTAGATGAAATATGGGTGGTCGCTTTCGTCTCGAGCCACTCGAGCCAAAAACTCACAATCGTCGATTTTGATAGTGAGATTGAAGAAGCAGCCCCAGATTTCCACCATGAGCGAGTTACGTTGGCGCCCCAAGTGGATGAGCATCGAAGATACCCACACGTGGCTTTCTTCTTTACAGAGAAGAAAATCGTCGCTGTTTAGTGTATCTTGCTTGTATCCTCGTCACATCACATCCGAAAAAGGATGGCTACACACACCAACTACAAGAAGATCACAGTCGCTCGTCACAGTGCCAAGAGCCGAGTAAACTGTTACTGTGGAGCAGATGCTGCGGACACAAACAATAACGAGTTCAATCGCCCCATTCGCCCGCCGAGCGATTCCATTGTTCTCGTCAGTCGAGAGTACTCTCCGACGGCAAACGCTACAATGTTTTGTCATTCGCCGAAATTGGCATCAACATCAGTTTACTCGCACTTGTTGAAAAATCGAAGGTACCAGAGGTCCAAAGGCTTTCGGGGCACTGGGAGCGGGTCATTGGTGAAGGAGGGATTTACCTAACTTTGTAAAGAAAAAATGAATTACTTTTTAATCAGTCGTCCTCTTTGTTTTATTCGGATAAAACCATCGCCAGTTTTGAATGGGATGAACTAATATATCATGAGTACTTCTATACGCTGATATAGTGTTGTACTGACCATGAGATATAGGAAATAACAAGGGCCTGCTGTTGCTTTGCAGAAGAAGCATCTGATTCGATTCGACAAGTTCGTCCTCTGTAAACGGACTATTAGGTTGTTTATTTCTCAACAAAGGAGCGCAACATGTGCTTCATTGTTCAAATGAGGAAGCCCTCAAATACCTCCTCCACACGCTCCCACCACAGGCAGGCGTAGTCAAGACATCCAAGCGCAGTTAGCGCACAACCGAAGCTACGCCATTAATAGTCGACCTTGGCATGGCTTTCCAAACACATGAAACGTCGAGCGTAAGATTAGGTTTGTGCGAGTACTCGCCCCCGGTGTGGAGCAATATTCGCAGAACTGGATGGACTGGGTTGATGGAGAGTCGATCATGGAATGTTCTTAAAACGGTACCGGTGTGGAGCGTTATTTTACAGTCGCGACGCGATTACGTGTTAGCGACGCGCTGAGCCGCTGCAGTATAAAAAGAGTTGGTATTGGTGCAGATGCTGAGCACGTCACCCCGGCTGCAACGCCCAATTCGCCGCGACTGGGAGGTGACGCTACCTCACCCGCACGCCCTCGCCGCGTTGTCGATGTACTGAACTGGGTAAATGTGCTATGCTCCCTCCCCTCCCACCGGATTTCGGATATTGTTTTCAAGATAACAGAAAGCTCACCTTATTGACGTAAACTGGTCCATAATAAAGGAACGTCAGAAACCCGAGATTAGCACCAATATTCGACAGCCAAATTCCGAGAATGCAGGGGTCGCGAATTACATGTAGGTATGGTACCGGTTCCCGTGCTGATGAACCGGTATCGGTCTTGTCATGCTGGATTCGGGCCAGCTCTTTCTCACTAACGTTTCTGAAAGGCTCACTTTAGGGAACTGAAATCATTTGTTTGAACAACGTGGAACTTCAACATGTTGTTTGTAAAGGGTTCATATTTTTTCAGATTCTGAAAAGGGTAACCCAGCAGGACTAATTCTTTGAAAAAAAGGAAAAAATTACAGCGTTCCCCGTTTCCTAGAAAATACTGCTAATCAATGCATCTTATGCAGAATAGTCAGGGCAATAATATAGAAAAATCCAGCCAATCACCTGTGAAGCACTGGTGAGTCCTGGAAGAAATAGTAGAATGTGATATACAGTAGAAGTGTGAACATTCCCTGAATGTAGTACAGCAATCTCCAGCCGAATGAGCTCTCACAAAGAATACCAGCCAGAGGCATTGTGATGATGGAGCAAAGCTATAATTCTTCGATTTTATTCAGGGAAGACCATTCCCTTTGGAAATATTTTGAGCCAAAGTGCAAGTGAAAGCAGGTAGTGTACAACGGCAGGGATTTTGTAATGTAACGAACGTTTTTGTTTATTTGGGTGTTAGTACAACAGGCATTGGCTACGCGCGGTCGTGTAGCAGCTCGTGTGTTACGGCTGACACTAAAATTAGACAAAGCCGCTTGTGTATGTATCTGCTAGCTCACTGTAATTCTTAAGGCAGGAATACCAGGGACCTTTCCAGACCTTGGACGAGACCATCAGCTCGGCTCCAAGTGATACTATCTCATAGAGCAGGTGACCTGAACGGCCATGTCGGTAGTGACAGAAAGGGCCTAGAAAAGGGTGCACGGAGACAGAGGAAAAAGAATACACAAACACTCGCAAAGGTTTTGGCAACAGTCCCGTTCGCGAAGAACATGCCTACAGACTCGCCACGCCTGGCAGCAGTTCCGAAAAAGGCAACCCAGAAGATAAACACAGCAGCGAATGAAGACCAAACCGAGATCGCGACGCGCTTGTTAAGACTAGCATCATCCTCTAAAAAGTGTTCGGTGAGCAGTCCGGTGGCTGCTTACTGTAGAACTGGCCTCACACAGATCCCTGCTTGCGGACCTGCCCTTTCCTCAAGAAGACCGGAGTAAGAAGTGAGAGGAGAATACGGTGGGGAAAATCGCGCCAAAAGGAGAAAGACGCGTTGTCGGAAAGTAGTGGAGACTGTTCTTGCAAATCTCACGAACTTGTCCAGGAGACTTCACCCACGCAAGGAGATTCATCCCACCGTTGTTACTACGGTAGGAGCTGGGAGAGACATAAGGACGAACCAAAGGAGACAAGGCAGTGTAGTTCTGGATCGAGGAAGTACAACATTTGGATGGGGTAAGACAAAGCTCCGAGGAGATATCGCTGCCCACAAAAGTTACAAACGACTCGCTAAAGCAGCTGTAGCCAAGGCGAAGATACAAAAATGGACACCCTTTACGTCCTCTGGCTGACTGAAGTCCGCGATCAGGCTACCCGAGACCGGATAGTGAATTCTGAAAGGCTTTGATGGTGCCTTTCTAGGAAACCCAGTTGAACTCAACAAGAAGTGGGAAAGCTCGTCACTGAACTTCTGAACGAGGAGTTACCTCATAAGAACAGCCCACAAGCAGAGCCGACTGCTAGTCCCATTACAATCTTGGAATCCGACTGGTCCGGAGCGGACACTGATTGAGGCATTGGAGGAGCATTACAATAATCCGTTTTCAAGCAGAAGAGGGACAAGAAGTAATGCCGCAACTACCGTGGCATCAGATTGACCGCAAATACCATGAAGCCGTGCGAGAAGATGGTCAAGACTAGGAGCTTCTTTCCGATCTCGACCAGTTCGTCGTCATGCCTGGAACGTCCGCTAGGGAGTCATCCACAACGCTGCACAGGTCATGGAGAAATTCGAGAAAAGCGTCGACTTTGCAACCTAGCCTTTTTGAACCCCGAGAAGGCTTTGACCGCTAACCACGACCTGTGGTCTGGAGGGCTCTCAGGGGACGGAATGATCTCGAATACTTCATCTCCCTTGCGGAGGAAATATAATGAGGCAAGAGCGGCTATGCGCACCCCGCACGGTCTTACAAATGAGTTTGACATCAGAGTTGGGGTACACCAAAGGTGACTCTTAGCCGCTTCTTCTTCCTCTACCCTGGAGAACACTCGAGTTCGAGACCTGGATGTCATGGCAAAGGAACTCATGGAGGGGTCACTCGAGACCATCCTCTGTGCCGATGACATTGCCCTGATAAGGAGAGCAGAGAAGATTTTCAACTGAAATTGCAGAAATGGCAGGAGGTATGGTCCGATAACGGCCTCCGGTTGGACGACAAAAAGACCAAGCTCCCGAGTTTCGGATTGCACCGAGCCCATTGTAAACGTGACGGGGAATTCATGAAAAGGGTGGAGATTTTGTGCTACCTTGGAAGCGATCTGGCTCGTGTTAGTAGGTTGGACTAGGTAGTAAAGGCTCAAGCGGATCCGGTTGGATGAAATGGAGGGAGTCTACCGGTATTCTCTGCGATTGGCGCTGCTTCAGGATACTCAAAAGGAAGGTGTACCGGGAAGAGGTGAGGACGGCGTTGCTCTACAGCAGCGAGTGCTGGTCTATATGCAAGAATAATGAATGGCAGCTCCTCCCAGCTGAAAAGTGAATGCTGATGTGGGAGCGGTCACACAGTCGGCTGCAATCCAACTGGAGACAGGAGAGCAGCGACAGCGATGGTATGGGTACGTGCCGAGAAATCTCTAAGAACGCCCCACTAGAAAGGCACTGGACTTTGAAGCTCGAGGCAAGCTACCACAAGGAGTTTAAAAGAAAAGGTGGAGAGACATGAGAT